AGACTGATATCAACCCATACACCATCAGGAACAGGTAATGGTTGAATTAGTCCAGGGTAAGCTAATGTATCATACTTATGCCTTTGACAAATATCACATTTCTGAATAAAATTCCGAACGTCAGCTGCCAATGACTTCCGGTAGAAGAGGGATTGTAGCCTCTTAATAGTTGCATCCACACCTGCATGGCCACCTTGTGGTGTTGAATGCCACAACTGAATAATGGTTTGTCTTAACTGCAAATCATACCCTACTACTAGCCTGCCTTTCCACCTTAGTTGAGAACCAATCCAGGTATATAATTTATAAGGCTTTGCTTGTAACTTACGAATAACAGCTTGCAACTCAGCATCAGATGTCCATGTTAGGCTAATTCTCTCCAAAAGTGTGTCATTAGGAGTCAAGAGTGAAACAGCCAACAACTCAGCACTTTGATTTCTTGACAAGGCATCAGCAGCCTTATTGTCAGTCTCTTTCTTGAACTCAATAGTAAAATCAAAGGCCATCAATTTAGAAATACCAGCAACTTGAAAATCAGTATGAATACTTTGTTCCAGGAGATGTTTTAGTGCCTTTTGATCAGTTCTCACAATGAAATGTCTTCCTAATATGTAATGAGACCACTTAGTAACTGCAAATATGATGGCTAATAGCTCTCTATCATACACACAAATAGCCTGATGTCTAGGTGCCAATGACTTACTCATATAGGCAATTGGATGCCCTTGCTGCATCAAAACAGCACCAATTCCTGAACCACTTGCATCAGTCTCAATGATGAATGGATTATCATAGTCTGGTAATGCTAAGACAGGTGCAGTCACTAGTTCATTTTTGAGAATATGAAAAGTTGTAGTAGCACCCTCATTCCACACAAACTTATCCTTCTTTAATAATTCAGTGAGAGGTTTAGCAATGGATCCAAAATTCAGAATGATATCCTGTTAAACCAAGAAACCCTCTCAGTTGTTTGATATTTTTAGGGACAGACCAAGCCTGTACTGCATAAATCTTCTTAGGATCAGTGGCTACCCCTTTAGCACTGATGAAATAACCTAGGTACTCTACCTCAGGTACTCCAAAAGCACACTTACAACCTTTGGCAAACAGCTATTGTTGCTTCATCAATTCAAACACAACTTGTAAATGGTTCACATGGGCTGACATATCCTTGTTGTACACCAATATATCATAAAAAAACCAGTACTGACCTCCTGAGGAGTGGTTTAAATACAACATTCATAAGACTCTGAAATGAAGAAGGTGCATTTGTAAGACCAAATGGCATAACCAGAAATTCATAATGTCCTTCACGAGTTTTAAAAGCTGTCTTATAGATATCTGTTTTCTTCATCCTTAATTGGTGGTAACCAGCTCTAAGATCAATCTTAGAGAACACTTCAGCTCCTCCTAGTTCATCTAACAAATCCTCAATGATAGGAATAGGAAACTTGTCCTTTACTGTCAGTTTGTTGAGATCTCTATAGTTTACACAAAGCCTCCAACACTCATCTTTCTTCCCAACAAGGATTACAAGTGAGGCATAGGGACTAGAACTAGGTTGTATCACACCTTGATCTAGCATTTCTTGTACTAGCTTCTCAATAATATCTTTCTTCATTCCAGGATATCTATAAAGCCTTTTGTTAACAAGAGTAGCTGAGTCAATGAGTGGTATTTTATGATCAAAGATAACTCTATGAGGGGGCAATGAACTAGGCATATCAAAGAGGCACTTGTATTGTTCCATTAAAACAGTTAATGTAGGATGAATATCAGTACCTTGAGTTACTTGTATATTGTTGCATTGCATATCATAGGTTGCATCTGTCACCAAGGTTAGCATAAAAACCTGAACTAAATCAGCACTCTTTTTATTTAAGGATTGGGCCTTGGTGGTCTTGATCTGGCTACTGGCTCCCCTTAAAACATGTTTCCTCCTCAGATGCACAAACTTAATAGTTCTATTTCTGAAATCAAACAAAATCCTACCCAAAGTGTTTAACCACTGCACACCCAACACTATGTCAACATTCCCTAATGGTAGTAGTAGGAAATCAGAAGAAAAAGTTGTACCATGCAGTAACCACTTCAGATTTTTACACACTGCAGCAATTTGAACCTTCCTACCATCAGCCACACTAACTGATTGCTCATGTATAGGCAAAGCTTTACAACCTAACTTCCTTGTCATTGACTCATCAATGAAATTATGAGTACTACCTATATCAATAAGCACCTGTAAGGGTTGTTTTTCATGGTATTCAGTTACTTGAATTGTTTGATACCCTGTACTTCCAGTAAATGTTTGTAAGGAAATTGTCATGCACTCATCGACTTCTAACACTTCTTCCTCCATGATTACCTCCCCATTCTCCAGAACTTCAACCAAATATAATTGTTTCTTGGATTTACAAACATGCCATAACTGTTTCTTGGATTTACAAACATGCCCAGGCATATACTTCTCATCACACAAGAAGCACAGTCTTTTAGTCCTTTTCTCATCCATCTCAGCAGCAGTCAGTAATCTTCTACCAGTAAGTATTACTATTACTGAACCTGTTAGCATTAGGTTCATAAGGTTTCTTGACAGCTGTGCTAGAGAAAGTAGGTTTTTGTACAACCTGAAACCTAGATGGAGTAGGGAGAAGACCATTTTGATTCCTGCTATTTCTAATTCCCCAAGACTTAGCCTGAGCATCAAAAACCTCTTCCTGCAACTTAGCTAACTTGTAGGCTTGCATTAAGGTTTTGGGTGCTTGCATTCTAACAGCCTTGTTGAGCTCAGTTTTTAATCCTCCCAGAAAACAACTGATAGCATTTTCGTTTGACAAATTAACCCCATTCAATAACCTATCAAACTCAGCCTGATATGTTCTAACATCCTCAGTTTGTTGTAAATTTTTAATAGCTTCCATGGAATCTTCAAATTCCTCCCCAAATCTTTCATTAACAGCCAACACATACTCAGACCAAGAAGGGTCTATAACTGAGTTCCTAGACTTCAAGTATGATCTATGCCAAGCAATAGCTTCACCATCCAAATGGATAGAAGCTACTCTCACCCTCTGATCATATGGAACTTCATCCATGGCAAAAAACTGATCCATCTTATATAACCATGCCCTCAAATTCGATCCCGAAAATCTAGGAAAATCAAGTTTAGAACATCGGGTAAGAAATTTACCATTAGAATTTTGGAAATTCCCAGCTGCATTGCAAAACCCCTGTTCTCTGTCTCCACCCACAGATGATTCAACTCTATTTTGATCCATCTCCTTGTCCTTCTGTTTCGCATTTCCTAGGGCTTGCTTGATCTCCATTAATTCCTTATCTGTTTGTACATTTCTATCATTGATATTCACCATACCTTCCATCAACTTCTGCAATTGTTCCTGTATTCTGAGACAATTTTGCCCTCCATTTCCTCTGAAGATTTGTCTTTGATTTTTTTCCCGAGCAACCATGATTTCTTAGCCGAGGACCAGCTGCTCTGATACCAATTGATCCAATTAACAGTAATCGAAAGGATAATATCAACTAGGAGGCTGAACCTCGAAGAAGAAGAGAGCTATATCAGGGCAATTTCGAGATAGAAGCTAAGAAGAACATAGTAAAAGAGAGAGAAGAAGAATTATCATATATCATTTCATGCCTTAACAATCGTATTACATCTGTATTTATAGAGTTGAATTGAAAGCTAAAGCTACAATCTACTGAAATAACTACTTCTAACAACTCTAACAAACAATGAACAGTGATAACTGTTTTTGTGACTAATGAACAGTATTAACTACTTTTTAATATTCCTAATCATCTACGCTCATCTACGCATTGTATCATGGAGCTCAATTATTGGAGGAGTTGTCAGAAAATCAAAAAATTTAGTGTCGTATACGATACTCGCGACCCAGAGAGATTTGTTAAAGATGTCGATTTATGGGTGTATTTTGCAAGTAAACTAGCTAATGTTGAACATTTTAAACTTAGATGTGAAGATGGATATGTATTTCCTCAGTTCGCATATAAGAATACGTCTTGGAGAAAATTGGATATACAGTTATGTACAAATTTGAACCCTTTAGCTAATGTGGACTGGAGTGGTGTCGTTTCTCTTTCATTTAGGTTCATAGATTGGACAGATGGTGTCATGGAAAAGGTATTATCTGGTTGCCCTAACTTGGAGTGCTTGAAATTGTACCAATTTTTGGGAGTTCATTGTCTTGAAATCAACAATGCGAAGTTGAGAAAATTGATCATAGACAACTCAGAAATTGATGAATGTGACCTATCACTTGAAATATTATCCCCATATATTCATTTGAAATTTCTGGTGTCATGCCGTAGGATATACTTGAGAAATGTGGCGTCCCTTGTAAATGAGGTCCTTGATTTTGATTTTTGTTTTTGGAAAAGAAGACCCATTGCAGAGGAAGGAGTGTACCTGTTTGAAGGAACTTTTTCACAACGTTGTGCATGTCGAGAAGCTTGAATTAGGTCCCAGGTGCATCCAGGTTTATTTATACTCTTCACTATCCAAAATTAAGAAAAAAAAACCAATTTGGGACTTCTTATTTGCGATTAAATTTGTTGGGTTAGTAACATTTATAGTGACAGTGTTTAGGATAATGTGATAACCAATTTTGTAAGTACTAAATGATTACATTCTTTTTCCAATATAGTTGCAAAGTGGCAGGTGACTGAAATAACACCTTTTGGACAAAATTTTGGATGATGAACATTGAGAATAAATGGTTTGTAAAATTTAAATTCATTTAATTGATCATAATCTTTTGGTCATGTGAATGGTTTTTCAAAGTGTTTAAAAGTCCATTTTTGGATCTCCAAACCAACCTTTGAACATTGTTTAACAATTTAAGTATGCAGCATTTCCTTGTTTTGACATAATCTGGTTTCTCTATTTGGTTTATAAGTACCTGTCCATACTGGAATTGGAAGGGTGGAAGCCTCCACTATCAAGCTGGAAATTCTTACAGCTTGGCACAGATTTGGAGCAATTGAATTTCCCGGGAATTTGCTGTTTTCTACAGAATTCATCAGATCTTAAGACTTTGGTCATTGACGGGGACAAATACCAATCAACAGTAAGTTCCCTTTGGACTTTATTTTTGTTACTTCATGTTATCAATATCAAACAACTATTAGTGAAAGAAGACACAATATATATCCACTTATTTCTGATATCCAGTACACTAGGAAAAAAATCATAAAACATAATGAAAAGTCACCTTCGTGAATCATGATATACTTCATAGATAATGCTAAAAGGTTACAAGGAGGGGGGATTTGACTGATGAGAAGATCTGTAAGTACTTGATGAACTATACAATAGCTTCTAATTTATAGAGACTTATTTGCTCCCTCTCTTGTGCATTGTTTCCATAAGAACTTGAAAAAGGAGAAAAAGTGATGAGTTTTCTCAAGTAACATGTGTGCTCACAAAAAGATCTAATTGGGAAGGGAGCTGCCATTTGTCAACCCTTCTTTGCATCCAATAGGTAATTATATCCAACTAAAGAATCAGCCACACCGTTGACTTCTCTGTATTAGTGTGTCATCTCGACTTATGAATCAACTCTTTATGCTTTTCAATAATAGGTTCATATTGCCAAGAAGGTTTTGCAACTTGCTTGACAACATTCACAATAAGTAAAGAGTTAGCTTCCACCCAAATGCTTCTAATACGATGTTCAAGACACCATTTAAGCCCATAGGAAAGTGCAAATGCTTCAGTCATATCTTTTATTTAAATTTTTTCTTTTCTAGTCTTAAAAGGTGTGATTTCTCTTTGTTAGATCTGTTGCAAGAGTTGCGCGGACTCTTCACTTTTGATGCCACACCCGTGTCGGATTCTCCAAAAAATACACTACTTTTGGTGAATCCGACACGCACCTATTGACATATTTGAAGAGTCCGAGCAACACTTGCAGCTGCATCCTTATTGTTCCTTTTTTTCTTGTAAGACATTCAGAAGAACTTTTTTGTTCTCTCAATTTATTTTCCTTCATAAAACAGTCCCACTTGTGTTGCTTTGATTTATGTTGTCACTACCAAAATAAACTCTGAGTAAACTTTTTGTAGTTGTTGGAAAAAGACGTTTAACAAGTGATAGTACTCAACTTCATGTGAGGGAATAAATGACAGATGCTTTGAACATCTTTTTATGTTTGCATGTACCACATTGTAACATTTGATAAGTACTGAGATCGATGTTCCTTGAATTTAAAAATTCATGACCTTTTTGCTTTATCCACAATCAACTCCTTTGCTTCTGGCTTTTATCTAAGGATAATAAAATAGGTTAATATAGTGGATTCTTTCCTACAGGAACTGCTGCTAAAGTACACAAATAAGGATGAACAGATTAGGAGGTTTGAGACACGTGATTTCAACTGCTCATTTCTACATCTGAAGACTATCAAGATCCTTAAGTTTTCTGGATGTGTGATGCCATTGGTGAAATACTTGCTCAAGGATGCAATAGTTCTAGAAAAGTTCATCACTGCTGCCAAATACAAAAGGAGTGATTTGTATTATGTCAAAATGGTACAGGAGCTCCTGAGCATTCCAAGATCCTCTCCGCAAGCTTCAGTTATCTTTTCTCATAGATAATAACCTTGGGCCCCTATTGTTTTATAAATCGCAACATACTTAACAATTACTCCCTCCGTTTAAAAAAGAATGACCCCTTTTCCTTTTTAGTTTGTTTAAAAAAGAATGACCTCTTTCCTTTTTTGGAACATTTTACTTTCAACTTTTCACATGGCATGTTTAAGACCACAAGATTAAAGGGCAATTTTGTACATTTGACATAACTTTAATTTAGGGCCACAAGATTCAAAAGTCTTCTTTATTTTTTAAACTCCGTGCCAAGTCAAACTAGGCCACTCTTTGTGAAACGGAGGGAGTATTACTTAATGTTTGAAATTGGTTTGAGCCAATCGACAAGGCTTGGATTGCACTTGTCAGTATTGAAGGAGTTATTAGTGCTTTTTTCATGTCTAAGTAACCAAGTGTTCATTCTCTAACCATCATGTAAGCAACAGTACAAGAGGAGGAGATATATGAGCTTCGTTTCCATTCAGATGTAACAGATAACTTCTTGAGCAATTTAATTTTCGAAGCACATAAGTAGTTCTATTGAGCCAAGTTGTTTTCCAGTTGGCTGCCCAAGAAGTTTGGTATAGAGTCATTTCTTCCAGGCATGAGGAGTGTGTTGAAGGTGTGCACAATAGCTTTTAGATTGTAATGTGAAACTAGAGTATATTATAAGCTCTAAATTGATACTACTAGGTTTTATTATTTTTGCAAGCTCATATGTTTTGCATATTGTACAGACAAGGTTGATTTTGTATTACTAAAAATAATGTAACGATAGACGCTCTTGTCCGGTGGGGGTATAAATTCTTTTAAACTTGCGATGAAGCATATTTCTTTTGTATTCCAAGCCAAAGGAGTCATTTGTCTCTATTTCAGTATGTTTATTGTATTCATGTATATCAATCTCTTTATAACAACATGATTTTACTATAACCATAAAAAAAAATTAATTTTTTTTTTCATAGTTTGTTATTATGCTTTTGATAATCACTTTCATTTTGTAACCTCCTTTACTTGTACTATATTGTGCAACATTTAAGTTTCATCCTAGTAAATAAAAAAAAAAGATAAGGCACAAGTACCCCCTAGATTATAACCGAAATCTCAGTGATACACTTTAACTAAACTAAGGTCCTATTACCCTCTTGAACTTATTTTTTTTGTAATTTTGTACACCTTTTGTCTTACATGGCACACTCTGTGACTCCACGCAATTGAGGCGCGTGTGAGATATTTGGATGCCACGTAAGTCAAAAAGGTGCACAAAATTACAAAAAAAAAAATGGGTTCAGGAGGGTAATAGGACCTTAATTTAGTTAAGGTGTGTCTATGAGATTTCAGTCATAGTCTAGGAAGGTACTTGTACATTTTCCCAAAACAATAATATTAAGGTTACAGATTTACGAGGGAAAATTATGAATTTTGCGCTATGACAATTTTAATTAGCAAAACTTAAATAATGACCTTTTTTTAAAAAAATATTTTTTTGAAAAAGCTCGTTTTAAAAAAATTCTTTTAGAGAGCAATGGTTTGTATTTGATCAAGATTCCAACAGTGTTCTTTGGGAAAAGCTACTGTTTGCAACAAATTTTAAACATATGAAAAATAAATAAACCACACAAATAAAATCTGAAAAAATATGAATATATTGATAAATATGCGGGTACAATTCTGTTTCTCCCTTAATTTTACTCTCCTAAGATTTATCCATGATTCGAGGGCCGTTAGTGGCATATTCTCGAACTAGAATGATTTAGCTTTGACCTCTATATGAATATTCCATCAACTTATGGAATATTCGAGCTCTTGATCTTTAAAAATACCCAAGAGTTTATGGGATATTTTGAGATGCCTTTTCAGGGAATTTCGTACCCTTTATATAGGCATAAACTAGGGTTTAGGGTTGAGTAGCCTCCAAGAATTCTAATTGAAACTGAACACACTTTCTAGAGTCCCAATTCGAATTGAACACGTCTTGTAGAGTCCGCAAAATTTCAATGTCTACAAATGCCCCCTGCTTCAAGACTTGTCGGAGTGTAGACTCGATGAAACTCAAAGACGAGGCTTGGAGTACTCATTCTTCCATCTTTGCAGCTACAGATTTTCAGATTTGATTTAAGAGAGAAGAGATAAAGGACAGATTTGGTCCCACTGGGTGTGCCAATTTGTTTGCAACAAATTTTAAATATATGGAAAATAATAAACCACAACAAAATAAAATCTGAAGAAACATGAATATATTGATAAATATGGTGGGTACGAATTTTGTTCCTCCTTGATTCTACTCTCCTAAGATTTATCCATGATTCGAGGGCCGTTAGTGGCGTATTTCTCGAACTAGAATGATTTAGATTTGACAATTCCCCCTGCTTCAAGGCTTGTCGGAGTGTAGACTCGATGAAACTCAAAGATGAGGCTTGAAGTACTCATTCTTCCACCTTTGCAGCTTCAGATTTTCATATTTGATTTAAGAGAGGAGATGAAGGGCAGATTTGATCCCACTGGGCATGCCAATTTATTTGCAACAAATTTTAAACATATGGAAAATAAATAAAATAAAATCTGAAGAAACATGAATATATTGATAAATATGCGGGTACAATTCTGTTCCTTTCTTGATTCTACTCTTTTAAGATTTATCCATGATTCGAGGGCCGTTAGTGGCATATTTCTCTAACTAGGATGATTTAGATTTTGACATCTATATGAATATTCCATGTCTTTTGTGGAATATATCGAGGTCTTGATCTCTTTATGGAATTTTTGAGATGCCTTTTCAGGGAATTTAGTACCCTTTATATAGGCATAAACTAGGGTTTAGGGTTGAGTAGCCTCCAAAAATTCTAATTGAAACTGAACACACCTTCTAGAGTCCAATTCGAATTGAACACGTCTTGTAGAGTCCGCAAAATTTCAATGTCTACACTACCATTTTTATCTTCTCAAAAATGTTTTTGTTATTATGCAAAAATACTTATGTTTTTCTTAAAAGTTTGATTTAACGCCTCAATTTTAAAATAAATATTTTTGGTAGCTTGACCAACATTTTGATCTTTAATTAACTAAAATTGTTGTTTTGATCCATGTGGTAAATGGGAGTTAATAAAATTAACATAATACTCCCACCGTCCCTAATTACTTGTCCACTTTTTCTTTTATAGTTGTCCCTAATTACTTGTTCATTTTGACAAATCAAGAAAGGACAAATTCATTTTACCTATTATACCCTCAATTAAATGACTAATTATTTTGAAAAATGTAGAACTTTTCATCCACTTTATAATTAATAGGGGGGTAAAAATGGTAAACTCACTATGTCATTAATTATTTTCTTAATAAGTGTATCAATTCAAAAGTGGACAAGTAATTAGGAACAAATGGAGTAGTATTTATTGAATTTTTTTAAGTGTGAACATAAAATGAGAACACATCTCCATCCTCCCACAATTAATAGTTATTGGGATTGATGTTGCTTCGTTCTCTCTTGTGCATCATTGAAAAAAAATTAATGATAGTGTAATTTGATATCATTTATTTAATTCATTGAAATTCTGTCTATTCAATTATCAGTATTGAAAATATTTGTTGGGATTAATATTTCTTCTCTCTCTTGTGTGCATTGTTTTTAAAACAAAATGAAGTAAATGATATTGTGGTCTATTATCATTTATTGAATTCGTTGAAATTCTGTCTATTTAATTATCAGTATTGTTGGAATTAATATTTCTTCTTTCTCTCTTGTGTGCATTGTTTTGAAAACAAAAACGAAGTAAATGATAATGTGGTCTACTATTATTTATTGAATTCGTTGAAATTCTGTGAGTTCAATTATTAGTATTGAAGAATAATGTTTCGTGATATTATGGAAAAAATTAATCCTAATCTAGACAATTGCAAGAAAATTAAATTCTTTTAAAACAAGATAATCTTTTATTAGACTCAAAACTTATTTATCCTACATTTTCTTAATTTTTATTTCCAGTATATTCCTCGAATGTGAGGACCGGAACATGTACTAAGGTTGAAAATATTCATATATCCTATATAAATATATCATTAATGTTGTTTACATTAAAAAGAAGTGAGAAAAACTCAAATATGTTCTTTTAATTATATATGTCATTCATTAATAGTTGAGTTGAATTTATTTGTGTATTTGTCGTGATACAATGTAAAAATTGTGCAACTTTTCATTAACAATTAAAAAAATAAAAAAAATATACGTGTTATTAATTTCTTCACTAACAACTCAAATAATTAGAAAATATATGTATTATCAAACTCTTCAAAAAAAAAAAATCAAGTAATAAAAAATTGCACGTGTTTTTAATCTCTTCACTAACAACTCAAATAATCAGAAAAATACACGTGCTATCAATCTCTTCACTAACAACTTAAATAGTCAGAGAAAACAAGCGTTATCAATCTCTTCACTAACAACTCAAATAATTAAAATATACACGTGTTATCAATCTGTTCAGCAACAATTCAAATAATTAGAAAATAGTGTTATCAATCTCTTCACTAGCAACTCAAATAATTAAAATTTGCATGTGTTATCAATCTTTTCACTAACAACTCAAATAATAATAAAATTTGATATCATTTATTGTTTGCATCATTTTCAAAACAAAACAGAAAAAAGTTAATGATGATGTAATTTGATATCATTTATTGAGTTCGTTGAAATTCTGTTCGTTCAGTTATCAGTATTGAAAATATTTGTTGGGATTAATATTTCTTCTATCTCTTGTGAGCATTATTTTTAAAACAAACAAAGTAAATAATACTGTGGTCTACTATTATTTATTGAATTCGTTGAAATTCTGTGAGTTCAATTATTAGTATTGAAGAATAATGTTTCGTAATATTAAGAAAAAAATTAATCCTAATCTAGACAATTACAAGAAAATTAAATTATTTTAAAAAAGATAATCTTTTATTAGACTCAAAACTTATTTATCCTACATTCTTTTAATTTTTATTTCCAGTATATTCCTCGAATGTGAGGACCGGAACATGTACTAAGGTTGAAAATATTCATATATCCTATATTATATAAATATATCATTAATGTTGTTCACATTAAAAATAAGTGAGAAAAACTCAAATATGTTCTTTTAATTATATGTCATTCATTAATAGTTGAGTTGAGTTTATTTGTGCATTTGTCGTGACACAATGTAAAAATTTGTGCAACTTTTCATTAACACTTCAAAAAATAATAATAAAATATTTGTGTTATTAATGTCTTCACTAACAACTCAAATAATTAGAAAATATATGTATTATCAAACTCTTCACAAAAAAATCAAGTAATAAAAAATTGCACGTGTTTTTAATCTCTTCACTAACAACTCAAATAAATTAGAAAAATACACGTGCTATCAATCTCTTCACTAACAACTCAAATAAATTAGAAAAATACACGTGCTATCAATCTCTTCACTAACAACTCAAATAAATTAGAAAAATACACGTGCTATCAATCTCTTCACTAACAACTCAAATAAATTAGAAAAATACACGTGCTATCAATCTCTTACATGTGCTATCAATCTCTTCACTAACAACTCAAATAGTCATAAAAAATAAGCGTTATCAATCTCTTCACTAATAACTCAAATAATTAGAAAATACACGTGTTATCAATCTGCTCAACAACAGTTCAAATAATTAGAAAATGCACGTGTTATCAATCTCTTCACTAGCAACTCAAATAATCAAAATTTACATGTGTTATCAATCTCTTCACTAACAACTCAAATAATAATAACATTACACGTGTTATCAATCTTTTCCCTAACAACTCAAATAATAATAAAATTACATGTGTTATCAATCTCTTTGTTAACAACTCAAATAATCAGAAAATACACGTGTTATCAATTTCTTCACTAACAACTCAACTAATTAGAAAAATACATGTGTTATCAATCTCTTCACTAACAAGTCAAATAATAAAAAAATACAGATGTTATCAATCTTCACTAACAAATTAAATAATCAGAAAATACACGTGTTAAATCTTCACTAACAAGTCAAATAATTAAAAAAATACAGATGTTATATCAATCTCTTCACTAACAACTTAAATAATCAGAAAATACATGTGCTATAAATCTATTCACTAACAGCTCAAATAATCAGACAATATACGCCTTATCAATCTCTTCACTAACAAATCAAAACACATATATTATCAATCTCTTCACCAACAACACAAATACACAAGTTATCAATCTTTTCCCTAACAAACTATACAAATAAAAAAAAATACACGTGTTTTAAATCTCTTTGCTTACAACTCAAATAACCATATTATACACATATATTGTCAATCTCTTTACTAACAAACTCAAATAATCAGATTATATACATATATTATCAATCTCTTTACTAACAAACTCAATTAGTCAAATAATACACGTGTTATCCATTTAAATGATCTACGTTATGTAATTATCCCGAATTAAATTTGACGCGCAAACCCGACCCGACCCGACCCACCTACTTCCCTATAAAACCCAATTAAGTTCTCATTTCAATCACTTCATCATGATCCCAAATACCTAACCCCCAAATCAGTTCTTCATTTCTTCAATGGCGAAAAAAATCATGGCGATGGTAGATCGACTCAGTGATTTGTCTGAGCCAATTCTAATTCACATTCTTTCTATGTTGCCGGACGGTAAAGATGTTGTGAGAAGTAGTGTATTATCTAAGCGATGGCGGTTTCTTTGGAGGTCTGTTCCAATATCACTGGATTTTAGCTTCCCTGAGGATACTTATTTAGGTCTCCCTGAGAGTGGGGAATTGGAGATTCTCGATTTCGTGAATTCCACCCATAGAGAGCTTCTATATTGGGGGTCTGGTCAGAAAATCAGAAAATTTAATGTGGTTGTCAATTTTTCTGTTCCGGAGAGGTTCGATAAAGATATCGATTTGTGGGTTTATTTTGCGACTAAGAAAGCTAATGTTGAAGATTTTACTCTTGAGTGTTTATCTGGATACAAGTTACCTCAATTTGCGTTTAAGAATTCATCGATGAGGAATTTGAATTTACAGTACTGTAAGTTGAAATTGGAACCTTCCGTTAATGTGAACTGGAGTAATCTAGTTTCTCTTTCAGTTGGATATGTGAAATTGACCGAGCGTGTCATGGGAAAAATATTGTCGGGTTGTCCTAACTTAGAGTGCTTGCTATTGGACTTCATTTGGGGATTTGATCGTCTCGAAATCAGCAATGTGAAGTTGAAAAAGTTGACCATAAACAGCTATGAAACTAGTGAATGTGATGTTTGGCTTGAAATATTAGCTCCGCATATTCAAAATTTGGAACTTTTGGGGTATTCCAGTGGGATACGCTTGAAAAATGTGGCTGCACTTGTCACTGCATTCTTTCGCATAGATTTTCAGTTTGATTTTGGAGAGGCAGACAGATCGGAGAAGAATGAGATTAGTTGTTTGAAGGAACTTCTTCACAGCGTTGCCCATGTCAAGAATCTGGAATTGAGTCACTGGTGCATTAAGGTTTATTTATACTCTTCATTATATAGAATTCAGAATATATTTTTTCTCGATTTGGAATTTCTTATGTGCTATTAAATTCATTTGTTTATTACCATAAGTCCATAACCGATTTGGTATGTACCTAGTAAATACTTACATTCTTATGCCAATCTAATTAGGCAGTGATCGAGACAGGACCTTTTGGACAAAAAATTCGATGAAGAACATTTAGAATAAATAATTTGCAAGGGACATAACAACATGTAAAATTTGGATTCATTTACATTGATCATAATCTTTTAGTCATGTGAATGGGGTTTTCAAAGTGTTTAATATCCATTTTTGGATCTCGAAACCAACCTTGAACACTGTTTAACAATTCGCATGTCATTTGTTAAGTATGTCACATTTCTTTGTTTTGACATAATCCGGTTATCTATTTGGTTTACAAGTGTATGTCCACACTGGCATTGGAAGGCTTCCAGTATCAACCATCGAGCTCAAAATTCTTAAAACTTCACACAAACTATGAAGAGTTGGACCTCCCAGGAATTTGCAGCTTTATACAGAATTCATCAAATATTGAGACATTGATCATTGACTGGCACCATCAAGATCGAGGAGTAAGTTTTCTTTACGCCTTCAATTCTGTTACTTCATATTATCAATATCAAACAATTATTTTATTTTTCTTGAAATGGAATAAGAAACAACTATTAATGGAAGAAGACGACAATATATATCACATATTTTGATCTTAGGTAAAGACAAAGATCATATGTTTTCCTAAAATTTAAACCGCCTTGCTTGTAAATTTCGCTGCCTCACCTCTTTTAGAAAAGGTAACAAATGAACTGGTTCAATCCTCAAGTAAAGAGAAGATAGAGAAGGTTCAATCTTTGAGAAAAGTGTGGGAGATAAGCCTCTAATGAGTAAGCAAAAAGCGGGTTTCTGTATAGGAGGTGGGCTCCTATATACACTGTGAAACATAACTAGCCAAATTACTTGATGAACTTTACAACAATAGCTTCTAACTTGTGGATACTTGCTCCCAGTTCATTGTTCCCATAAGAACTAAAAACGATAAAAACTGAGGAGTTTTTCAAGTAGCATATGAGCTCACAGAAAGATCTGAGGAGTATTTTTGCGCATCGCCTCGCTTCACGCTTCTGTGAAGCGAGCCCTCGTCACTCTTTTCCGCTTCTTGCTTCCCAAAACACTGATATTCCTCAAGAAAATAGTTCACCTCAAGTTTCTTTATCAGAGATTTGTCACTGTCAAAGTTGATTCTATGAGTAATCCACTTCTATAATGACCTTTTTTTTGAGAAAAAGAAGTTTCACAAGGAATAGTACTCACCTTCACGCAAAGAGATAAAGGACCAGCTTCAATAAAGCGTTGAAACATTTTTCTTTTTTTGTTTGCTTATACCACTTTGTAACTTTTGCTAAGCACTTGACTTGTTTCTTGAATCTGAAAAATAATTCATCACCTTTTTATTTTATCTAACTATCAATTCATTGGCTTTTACGTCCATCTGAGGAGAATAACTGGTTAATGTTTGCGAATTCTTTCGTGCAGTATTTATATGCGTATTCTTTTAAGGATAAGGAAAGGCAAATCAGGACGTTTGAGACACATAAATTTAACTGCCCATTGCTACATCTGAAGACTATCAAGTTCATTAACTTGGTTGGACCATTAAGTGTAAATAAGTTTGTTCTTCCATTGGTTAAATATTTGCTTGAGAATGCAATCATGCTAGAAAAGTTCGACATAGCTGCCAGATGCAAAGAGATTGATGTGCGTCTCGATCAGATTAGAATTGAACAGGAGCTCTTGAGCTTTCCAAGATCCTCTTCGCATGCTTCAGTTATCTTTTCCAATCAAAGATCTTTGCCACCTCTACTTTTGGATCAATCACAACATGCTTAACAGTTGTTACTTTTATGTTTGAAATTGGTTTGTAGCTATAGACAAGGTTAGGGTTCTACTTGTCAGTAATCAGTATCCAAGGAGTTTTTAGTATTTCTTCATGTCTAAGTACTTAACAATGTGTTTATTATCCAATCATCATGTTCATGTGTGATCTCTTGTTCCAAATGCTTTGTGATATATATTCATATTGCTGAATCCTGGTCATTTTGCAAAAAAAATTGTATTTCTAGATTCATTATGTGTCCAATGTTTTGTTTCTGTTAGCTTATGTTATTAACACAAACATATGAGATCCTGCACTGCAATTAGTAAGAAAGAGTAAATTCATAGGATTGTGTGCAAATCCCTCTGATATCATTTGAGAATACAAACTATGCTCTCTTCTTACAGTCAACTGACTTTCAACTCCTTTCCTTCTCTTTGCTATTGTCAAATAGAACTAGAATAGATATTTTTTGTTTCCTACTTACATGAGCCCATATCCTTGCTTTTCTATCAATTTCTAATTCTGATGTTCCTCCCCAATTTGTTACTGACCAGTATTTTACAAGCTTATATGAACTTTGAAAATACACTTTTGATAAAAAAACATACCTACATTATGTGCTTCTCATATATTGCACTAAATCAGTGCTATAATAAGTAATAGTTTTTTACCATTTTGATAAAGGGGATAAAGTAATTAAATGGAGAAAACAGACTCGGAGTGGTTGCTCCGCTTCGTCTGGATTATTTAATAGTGTTACCATTATGATGCTTGAAATGGATTGTGCGGTAACCCGGAGTGAAGTGATTTCAAAATGAATTGAGGGCTTAGAGGACCAAGTTCTCTGGTCTTTCATTAGCTTTCGATTTAGTTTGCATTAAAAGCCTTTCACTAGAAACTTATATACGGAACAAATACCAGAATTTGATAGTTTGGATTTGAACCAGTGACTTGAAGTGATTTTCGAACCCCCTTTACCACTACACTAGAAATTTTCCTTATGTCAAAGGGATTCAACAACTTATATGTAACCAAATATGTTCAACTTTATCCTACTTATGAGTATAGTTTTTCACCTTCCCTTCACCTAGTTCCTCCACTGCATGGAGGGGTTTGTGATCATAATATTTTTCTCTCGGTGTATGTGAACAATACCTTTTATGAGATTGTAAATATGCATTGTAAGTAAATCTATTCAAATAGATATGTATTGATATCGATGACCGAACTACTCTTATATTACTTTGTACCTCATCCTCGTCACATAACAAGGACGGTATGAAAGAGTCTTCCTGTCTATCCTTCTCTCTGAATTTCTAGTACTAACTATCCCTCATTGTTTGAAGTAGCTTAGAAATACCTTCTTCTTTATGAGTTTTCTCCAGCCTATTTAATTGCAAGTTTCTCACTGAGAGCTAAATCCACAAGCTGCAGGTTGTTCTTTGTGCACTCAAAATTGATTTAATTTATAGCTTTTACCATAATACAAATCATATTTTTTGATGATCGTGGTGTCCAGGTCAGCTTTCGCGCACCTCGACTAATTCCACGGAATACCTACCACCTCCCACCTTGCACCAACAACAGGTAACCAGGTAACTCTGTCCACCCACGCTAGGAGCCTAGGACAATTGGAAGAATCATCTAGTGTTTTTTGTCTCCACTGAGTTTTGAACCTGAGACCTCAGGTTTTCAACCATTTCCTTGACCAGTAGGCCACACCCTTTGGTGCGTTATAATAGAAATCATGCTGAATGAAAGTGAAATGAGAAATACGGCAAGTAAAACCAAATTACTGTAAAATGGAAGAAAATGAACTCCAATTTCTAAATGCACAATCTATCTATCTAAACTATATAAAGGCACGAAACTTCAACACATAATATTTTATCCATTTTCTTTTACCTTTCTTTGTACGTGCATTCAATATTAGAGAATTCCGCTCAAAAAGAATGTTAGAGAAAATTGTAATTACAATTAATTATAAAACTTATTTATTTCATTCTATTCCACACATGACCTTTAGGGTTTCTTCATTTATTAAGCTAGCTAAATAGGACAAACATTATCTGTTTCAGATATGTACATTTTTTGCATCAAATCATTGCTTTATCTGAACTATCAGAAAGTCCTATTATGAATCATCTTGTATAGATCCTTGTATAGATCCTTTCCTTATTTGAATTCTATTACAAGATAACGATTTTGTGAAAGACAAGTGAAAGCATAGCTATTCCGTTAGTTGCTTGGACTCTTCACTTTTGGTGTCGCACCCGTGTCGACACGAAATGTGTGTGGGTGTGGGATCATGTCTGATTCAGTCAACCAATTTTGGGTACTTTGACCAAAATCAATGGGGAAAGTTTGGACAGTTTTAATGATTTCTGTAATCAATACTAAAGCTAAGGTAAGATTGAAGCATATGGAATACCTTTTATATAGAAATTTCTATGTCACTCCCTTTCATTTATTCTCCTTCCAAGATTCTCCTCAAATTCTCCAAAATAATATCTCATAATTTAGGCTTTATAACTCTATTTTTAGGTGAACCCCGACACCCGTATCCATACATGGATCCATATCTCCGAATCTTAAAAATTAGATCATGAAGGATCCTACCTTTAGATCCGCAGCCGTATCCAGCACCCGAGTCCTAGCAACTTAGGCTATTCCAGGTTGTAGATTTGGAATGTTCTTTGTGAATTATAACCAATTAATTCTATACAATTTAATATTCTTGATATAAAAAATAAAAATTGAGAAAGACCAGACCCTTCGGGGTGACCCAGTGGTTTGGGCTTGGGACTTCCATGTTGAAGGTCTCAAGTTCGAATCCCCTTGCTTTCGAAAGCAAGGGGGTTTGCCTTCTGGGTCGAGCTCGTCGCACCGGGATTGCCTAGTGCGGGTTACCTCTCCTATGTGATTTGCTAGCTATTGAGTAGGAGCGGGGTTCTACCTTGTGCGCACCCAAAGGGTAGCGGCTGCGGGTTTCCCTTGCATCAATTTTTTTTTGAGAAAGACCAAGTAGAAAACTATAGCAAAAGTTGGTTTGTCTGTTGATGCATCGATTTTCATTATTCTTGGTTATAGATTTATAATTAACCATAAGATTAAAATTAATTCATTTTATAAACAACAGAGCTCAGCTTTATCAAAAGTGAAAATGCAAAAAAAAATCACGACACCGGAAGACTAAATAAGTGATTTTCCCAAATTCACCGGATCTCGAGACATTGGTGGTTGACCAGTGCTATCACAGACCAATAGTAAGTTTCTTTTGTACCTTTATTTTTGTTACTTTATGTTATCAATGTCAAACTACTATTAGTTGAAGAAGAAGAGGATATATCAGCATATTTCTGATCTCAAGTACACTAGGAAAGAAATCATAAAACTCAATTAATCATCACCTTAGTGGCATATTTCACAGATAATGCTAAAAGGTTACAAAGAGGGGATTTGATTGCATTACCTCTTACTGTTCCAATGCCCTAAGAATAGAGTTATGAATCAACTCTTTAATTTCTTCAATAATAGGTTCATAGGGCCAAGAATGTTTTGCGACTGCTTCACAACATCCACATTAAATAAAGAGTCGGGTTCCACCCGCATTTTGTTTCTTACAAAGGCTGACATTCTATCTCACATATTGTACATCTGTTTGAAGCGGTGACATCTAATGACCAGCCACATACAACTGTCCTTGTGTATCGAACTATACTATGCTATCACTCGTATTTGTATAAAGATTTTTTCTTTGTTTGTTGGATCTTTAGGTATTCCCTTCAACCCCTTAGTTACTAGTTGTGGAGTTTTTGCCCTTTGCTTCTGGCTTTGATGAAGGAAAGTAGTCAAAAAAGTTCTTCTTAGTACGCGAGCATTGAGGCTTTCATCAATACGATATTATTTGTTCCTTACTGGTCTCTTTTGTCCTAGTCTGCAACTGCCAGCTCTTTATCAGAGATTTGTCACTGTCAAAGTTGATTCTATGAGTAATCCACTTCTATAATGACCTTTTTTTTGAGAAAAAGAAGTTTCACAAGGAATAGTACTCACCTTCACGCAAAGAGATAAAGGACCAGCTTCAATAAAGCGTTGAAACATTTTTCTTTTTTTGTTTGCTTATACCACTTTGTAACTTTTGCTAAGCACTTGACTTGTTTCTTGAATCTGAAAAATAATTCATCACCTTTTTATTTTATCTAACTATCAATTCATTGGCTTTTACGTCCATCTGAGGAGAATAACTGGTTAATGTTTGCGAATTCTTTCGTGCAGTATTTATATGCGTATTCTTTTAAGGATAAGGAAAGGCAAATCAGGACGTTTGAGACACATAAATTTAACTGCCCATTGCTACATCTGAAGACTATCAAGTTCATTAACTTGGTTGGACCATTAAGTGTAAATAAGTTTGTTCTTCCATTGGTTAAATATTTGCTTGAGAATGCAATCATGCTAGAAAAGTTCGACATAGCTGCCAGATGCAAAGAGATTGATGTGCGTCTCGATCAGATTAGAATTGAACAGGAGCTCTTGAGCTTTCCAAGATCCTCTTCGCATGCTTCAGTTATCTTTTCCAATCAAAGATCTTTGCCACCTCTACTTTTGGATCAATCACAACATGCTTAACAGTTGTTACTTTTATGTTTGAAATTGGTTTGTAGCTATAGACAAGGTTAGGGTTCTACTTGTCAGTAATCAGTATCCAAGGAGTTTTTAGTATTTCTTCATGTCTAAGTACTTAACAATGTGTTTATTATCCAATCATCATGTTCATGTGTGATCTCTTGTTCCAAATGCTTTGTGATATATATTCATATTGCTGAATCCTGGTCATTTTGCAAAAAAAATTGTATTTCTAGATTCATTATGTGTCCAATGTTTTGTTTCTGTTAGCTTATGTTATTAACACAAACATATGAGATCCTGCACTGCAATTAGTAAGAAAGAGTAAATTCATAGGATTGTGTGCAAATCCCTCTGATATCATTTGAGAATACAAACTATGCTCTCTTCTTACAGTCAACTGACTTTCAACTCCTTTCCTTCTCTTTGCTATTGTCAAATAGAACTAGAATAGATATTTTTTGTTTCCTACTTACATGAGCCCATATCCTTGCTTTTCTATCAATTTCTAATTCTGATGTTCCTCCCCAATTTGTTACTGACCAGTATTTTACAAGCTTATATGAACTTTGAAAATACACTTTTGATAAAAAAACATACCTACATTATGTGCTTCTCATATATTGCACTAAATCAGTGCTATAATAAGTAATAGTTTTTTACCATTTTGATAAAGGGGATAAAGTAATTAAATGGAGAAAACAGACTCGGAGTGGTTGCTCCGCTTCGTCTGGATTATTTAATAGTGTTACCATTATGATGCTTGAAATGGATTGTGCGGTAACCCGGAGTGAAGTGATTTCAAAATGAATTGAGGGCTTAGAGGACCAAGTTCTCTGGTCTTTCATTAGCTTTCGATTTAGTTTGCATTAAAAGCCTTTCACTAGAAACTTATATACGGAACAAATACCAGAATTTGATAGTTTGGATTTGAACCAGTGACTTGAAGTGATTTTCGAACCCCCTTTACCACTACACTAGAAATTTTCCTTATGTCAAAGGGATTCAACAACTTATATGTAACCAAATATGTTCAACTTTATCCTACTTATGAGTATAGTTTTTCACCTTCCCTTCACCTAGTTCCTCCACTGCATGGAGGGGTTTGTGATCATAATATTTTTCTCTCGGTGTATGTGAACAATACCTTTTATGAGATTGTAAATATGCATTGTAAGTAAATCTATTCAAATAGATATGTATTGATATCGATGACCGAACTACTCTTATATTACTTTGTACCTCATCCTCGTCACATAACAAGGACGGTATGAAAGAGTCTTCCTGTCTATCCTTCTCTCTGAATTTCTAGTACTAACTATCCCTCATTGTTTGAAGTAGCTTAGAAATACCTTCTTCTTTATGAGTTTTCTCCAGCCTATTTAATTGCAAGTTTCTCACTGAGAGCTAAATCCACAAGCTGCAGGTTGTTCTTTGTGCACTCAAAATTGATTTAATTTATAGCTTTTACCATAATACAAATCATATTTTTTGATGATCGTGGTGTCCAGGTCAGCTTTCGCGCACCTCGACTAATTCCACGGAATACCTACCACCTCCCACCTTGCACCAACAACAGGTAACCAGGTAACTCTGTCCACCCACGCTAGGAGCCTAGGACAATTGGAAGAATCATCTAGTGTTTTTTGTCTCCACTGAGTTTTGAACCTGAGACCTCAGGTTTTCAACCATTTCCTTGACCAGTAGGCCACACCCTTTGGTGCGTTATAATAGAAATCATGCTGAATGAAAGTGAAATGAGAAATACGGCAAGTAAAACCAAATTACTGTAAAATGGAAGAAAATGAACTCCAATTTCTAAATGCACAATCTATCTATCTAAACTATATAAAGGCACGAAACTTCAACACATAATATTTTATCCATTTTCTTTTACCTTTCTTTGTACGTGCATTCAATATTAGAGAATTCCGCTCAAAAAGAATGTTAGAGAAAATTGTAATTACAATTAATTATAAAACTTATTTATTTCATTCTATTCCACACATGACCTTTAGGGTTTCTTCATTTATTAAGCTAGCTAAATAGGACAAACATTATCTGTTTCAGATATGTACATTTTTTGCATCAAATCATTGCTTTATCTGAACTATCAGAAAGTCCTATTATGAATCATCTTGTATAGATCCTTGTATAGATCCTTTCCTTATTTGAATTCTATTACAAGATAACGATTTTGTGAAAGACAAGTGAAAGCATAGCTATTCCGTTAGTTGCTTGGACTCTTCACTTTTGGTGTCGCACCCGTGTCGACACGAAATGTGTGTGGGTGTGGGATCATGTCTGATTCAGTCAACCAATTTTGGGTACTTTGACCAAAATCAATGGGGAAAGTTTGGACAGTTTTAATGATTTCTGTAATCAATACTAAAGCTAAGGTAAGATTGAAGCATATGGAATACCTTTTATATAGAAATTTCTATGTCACTCCCTTTCATTTATTCTCCTTCCAAGATTCTCCTCAAATTCTCCAAAATAATATCTCATAATTTAGGCTTTATAACTCTATTTTTAGGTGAACCCCGACACCCGTATCCATACATGGATCCATATCTCCGAATCTTAAAAATTAGATCATGAAGGATCCTACCTTTAGATCCGCAGCCGTATCCAGCACCCGAGTCCTAGCAACTTAGGCTATTCCAGGTTGTAGATTTGGAATGTTCTTTGTGAATTATAACCAATTAATTCTATACAATTTAATATTCTTGATATAAAAAATAAAAATTGAGAAAGACCAGACCCTTCGGGGTGACCCAGTGGTTTGGGCTTGGGACTTCCATGTTGAAGGTCTCAAGTTCGAATCCCCTTGCTTTCGAAAGCAAGGGGGTTTGCCTTCTGGGTCGAGCTCGTCGCACCGGGATTGCCTAGTGCGGGTTACCTCTCCTATGTGATTTGCTAGCTATTGAGTAGGAGCGGGGTTCTACCTTGTGCGCACCCAAAGGGTAGCGGCTGCGGGTTTCCCTTGCATCAATTTTTTTTTGAGAAAGACCAAGTAGAAAACTATAGCAAAAGTTGGTTTGTCTGTTGATGCATCGATTTTCATTATTCTTGGTTATAGATTTATAATTAACCATAAGATTAAAATTAATTCATTTTATAAACAACAGAGCTCAGCTTTATCAAAAGTGAAAATGCAAAAAAAAATCACGACACCGGAAGACTAAATAAGTGATTTTCCCAAATTCACCGGATCTCGAGACATTGGTGGTTGACCAGTGCTATCACAGACCAATAGTAAGTTTCTTTTGTACCTTTATTTTTGTTACTTTATGTTATCAATGTCAAACTACTATTAGTTGAAGAAGAAGAGGATATATCAGCATATTTCTGATCTCAAGTACACTAGGAAAGAAATCATAAAACTCAATTAATCATCACCTTAGTGGCATATTTCACAGATAATGCTAAAAGGTTACAAAGAGGGGATTTGATTGCATTACCTCTTACTGTTCCAATGCCCTAAGAATAGAGTTATGAATCAACTCTTTAATTTCTTCAATAATAGGTTCATAGGGCCAAGAATGTTTTGCGACTGCTTCACAACATCCACATTAAATAAAGAGTCGGGTTCCACCCGCATTTTGTTTCTTACAAAGGCTGACATTCTATCTCACATATTGTACATCTGTTTGAAGCGGTGACATCTAATGACCAGCCACATACAACTGTCCTTGTGTATCGAACTATACTATGCTATCACTCGTATTTGTATAAAGATTTTTTCTTTGTTTGTTGGATCTTTAGGTATTCCCTTCAACCCCTTAGTTACTAGTTGTGGAGTTTTTGCCCTTTGCTTCTGGCTTTGATGAAGGAAAGTAGTCAAAAAAGTTCTTCTTAGTACGCGAGCATTGAGGCTTTCATCAATACGATATTATTTGTTCCTTACTGGTCTCTTTTGTCCTAGTCTGCAACTGCCAGCTGTAGAAAACACAGTACAGAAAGAAAAAGAAGAGCTTAATATTATTGATATATTTCGTATGTAAAACTACTGCACAATACCTCATTATATAGGCTGTTGGCAGGTTACAATATAGAAGAGTTCTACTTGAATACTACTTTGTAAGTTAACTCTTATTAGTAATACATAATAACACTTACACTCCTAATGCAATACATACTCCTAATCCTAACACAATTCTAACACAATTATGCTTTTTTACGCTAGTCTCCAACACAGCTGTGTGTAGTTTTACTCATCCTAGATTAGGTTTGCACCATTTTACATTAGTGCTTGTCCATTGATGTGGGAATTCTCAATATGTTCACAAGAAATTGCTCCAAGTAATACGTAA